GAAGAGCCAGTGCAGGTACCCTGCCTGTGGAACATCTCCTCGAGAATGAATTTCGCCGCTTTGACTAGGGCTAAGGTCTTCTGCCTGGACATCGTGCCGCTCGCCTTCGTCATGATGTCGTTGGCGTGGTCGCCCTGCTTCACGGTGCACCTACACCAGTGGCTCGGTGGATGCATGGTGGAAGCCACGCGGACACACGTACGGCTCGGACCAACAGCATCAGGATCAATGCGGATACCAAAATAGCATAGCCGATGAGAAGGAAACAGTAACGTCCCATCTACGATGAAACTCTGGATTCGCGGGTCGCCCCATTTCCTGCCCTGGAAGCCGAAGATAAGATGCCGTGCAGCATTTTGCTTGCATAGCCTAGCCCAGTTTAGCAACTGCCGGATATGAGAATACCATTTGTGCTGAGGTACGTTGAAGCCTAAAATAAGGTATTGTGATATGAAGAGGTTGATCTTGTTGCTCTTGATCATGCTGGAGATGTCGCCAGCACTGCCTGCGTGGGCGGCCATGTGGCTGTGACGTTGCACACGGTAGCCCAAGGAGGTGAGCACAGTACTGATACCACATTCCGTCTCGATAGCAATAGTCCCACAAGTAGCGTCGAGGTCGCCACCACCAACAGTGGGCGGATCGCCCGTGCCCTCCGTTTGCGAACAAGCGGCCATTGAGGGCGTTTTGCCGCCTTTCCCTAGTCAGTGGGGTTGGGTTGTGTCCAGCGGTGGCCGATCCCGCTGTGGTGCTGGTGGTGTTGTCGCGGTCTTATCCTGTCCTGGCACGACGTGCAACGCGGGGGCGGCCGTCTCGACGCCGCCCTTTGCTTTGGGCAGTTTATCGTAATGTGAACAACCAACCATCAAATGTCCAGATAACCCCTGCTCCATAGGGGTCTTCACAGTGCCCGGGCTCCACTGGATGGCATAGCCCCCAGGGCCAGGAAAGGTCATCATTTCCTTGCCGCCCTCGAGCTCCAAGACAGCGCGCTTGTCTTTCAACGGCATGAGGCCCGCGATCAATGGGAGCTGGTGGCCCATGCCGTTTTTGGGGCTCCTGTGGATGAGAGGCACCTCGTAGTTGAACACCGTGGCGCCGCCATCTTCTGTCATGAGTGAAACTGGGACCGCGGCCTTGCACTCGCCCTCCTGCGTGCCGTGGCCGACGCCTTGGATCTCCAGGGGGCAGTCTAGCTTGGTTTGTTTAGGTTCGAATCCTGCTTTGAGGGTTGCTTGAGCCGCCCCCCGGCCACGATCGGCGCCTCCGACGTTTGTCCATGCGCCGATGTCCACGAGAAGCGCAGGCGTTCCGTTCGCCCACGCGGTCTTGGCATGATAGTATCCTCGTGGCTGCGGGACGTCCCCAGCCGGTGTCCATGGCAACGTCGGAGCCGCTCCGCCCGGTCGCGGCGCTGGCCCGGGTGAGGCTGTGGAGGTAATGGTCTCCTGTGGGCCGATGAACCTGAACCTGGACGCGATCCTGGCTGAACCGCGACGGTTTGGGCATTCAGGATTCGGTGGCTCCGCGCCTCTACTGCGCGCATCCTGAGCGCGACGCCGGCCGTCAGCAGCATAGTCCTGCAAACACTCGCTGCGGAAGAGGTGCCTGCAAGTAAGACGCGTCACCACTTCCCCGTGCCCAAACTCCATCAGGCAAAGTGAACACTGAGAGTTGTCGCCGAGGTAGTCCTGGCCGAGGGCCTGGCGTGCTCGCAAATTTTCCTGCATCGATTCCAACTCGGCCAGCATCTCTGGCAACGGGTCAGTTTGGCGTGCGGGCCTCCTCCTACCTTTCATCTCCTTGATCCTCCTCTGCTCCTCAGCGTACTCCTGCACCCTCCTCAAGCTGCTAAGCATCTGCTCCTGCTCATCGCTCACGTTCCGCATCGGCGCTGCGGCGAGGCCAACTGCGGGCGCTGGGCGTTCCCACCCTGGCGTGGCCATCCAGGTTTCCACCTCGCGTTGGTGGACGGTGGCCTCGCGTTCTCCAGGGGCCAGGGCTGAGGGTGCAAAACCCCTGGCGGCGCCACTCCAGAGAAGGGTGAGCTGATCGCCGGCCTGGAACGGCCTCCCTTCGCCAGCGAGCAAGTAGAAAAAGGACTCGTGCTGTGTGAAACTGGGCAGATCGACCTGTGGAGCGGAAGGGATCGTCTGGACGACCTGTGCGGCCTGGGATCACGGCGTACGAGAGGTCGCCTGCTCGGACGACGCTCGGCGCCTGGACGGGCGGCGCGCGCGGCCCTAGGCGCGCAGCTGGAGCAGCAGCGCTGACAGACGCTGCCCTAGGGCTGCCTGCGAGGCCTTGCTGCGAAGTTGCCGACTCGTAGCCTTCTGAATGGTCCGAGCCCTGTGGAGTCGTCGCAGGTCCGATCATCAACACTTGGGGTGCTGCTCTGCTGACCTCAGGGATGAGGCCCGCCAACGGGCCGTCTCCGAAGTCGACGGGTGGAGGCGGAGAGGGTACCGATCCCTCAACCAAGCCGTGCCAATTGTTCGCCCCGCTGCCGCTGCTGCCGCCGTAGCCCACGGCGCCATCGCTCCGTTGTGGCTGTCCCGTCAACGACGTCGGGGAAGGCTGGCGCGGGCAATCCTTGACTAAGTGCTCGTCGCTGCCACATCCGTGGCACGTCATGGTCACGCCGTTCCTGTCCTTAGGATTCTTCCGGCGACCTAAACCGAGTCCCGTGCTCTTGCCACGCTTGCCCTTGCCTTTGCCTTTGTTCAGGAATATGTTATCCAAGGTGCCGTCCTGCCTTGCTTCCACAAGGAATGCGTTGATGGAGGTCCGGCCGTGGTTCGGAAGCTGTCCTTTGCCTTTTCCTTTACCTTTCTTCCGGACGAAACGGCGCACTCTCCTGGTGGCCTTGCCGGCGTACTGGCGCCACCTGGATTTGGCCACTTGGCAAGCCCAGAAAATGTCTTGGCCATGGCGTTCTGGAGGGCCCGTAGGCTCAGGGTGTGGAGTGTCGCCCAAACTGCTTACCGTGTCCGAATCCGTGCCGCTGTCCATTTCGTCGTCGTTGCCGTCGCCGTAGTACATGTGATCTGTGAGCGTGAACGGATCTTGCTCCTGGTACGCGGACCCGTTCATCATGTACGTCATGTTTGGTTCACCTTGTTGTCCGTGCTGTGCTCGTGGTGTTTCGGCGCCTCGTGCTCCAAAATACGCGTGCGAACGCCCCCTGTCGTTCCGGAGCTGGGAGGCTATATTATCAGGGGTTCCCTCCACGATATGTCCCATGCGACGTAAACGAGTGCAGAGTTCAACGTATTGTTGATCTGTTGATGGTGTCAGGCCGTTGGTGGGCTCCAAGAGTCGCAACAACTGCTCTTCGCTCAACATGCACGCCTGCAGCAAATCTCGGCGGCCGTCAGGATGTTGATCCCGAGACCGCCTTCGGATTCAGCACGGTGTCGTACGATGTCGAATCTTGTGAGCAAGTCGTCGATCTTCTCCCGGGGTTCAGCCTGGAACCTGAGGAGGGCCTTGCTGGCCTTCATCCGCGCTTCCTCACCTAATGGACCGTACCGCTCTGACAACGAATGTAACAAAAATGTCATAGCACCAACTTGCACACCATTGATCTGCCCACCGTGGATGAAAGCCTGGGGCGGCACGGTGTTCATCAAATTCTTGGCGCCCCCGCGAAGATTGGTTGCAACCCACGCTGCCTTTCGAGCTTCGGGCATATCTTCACGAATACTCCAAAGCATAACATCGCGAGTCCAATCTCGAAACGGGTACCTATCCTGCACGTGCGGTCCCCAGATATGTGGGCCTCTGCCCTCCCGCATGTCATTGTACATGTATGCGACAATAGATGCGAACACGATGAAACAGGCAATGACAGCGATGATCAACATATGACTCATGATGTTGTCGATGACCTTGCGCCGGGTACCGATCCTGGGCTCTCCTTTGGGTTTTTTCTGGGTTCCGATCCCAATGTTCCCTAACTTTTGCTGCGTCTGGGCACCGATCCCAGGATCTATGAAATCCGTAGGCCGTTGGGGGCCAATCCCAACACCGACCGGAAAAATGAAATTAGGCTGGGCGCAGATCCCAGTCTTTGCCAGATACCTGCTTGCACCGGGCAGCGCCCGAGCAGTAGTTGTCGTATTTGTAATGGTGGTGCTAGTTGTAGTTGTTGTCGTAACGCTCGTTGTGGTCGTGGTCGTGGCGTTCGTGCTCATTGTTCTCGTCGTCGTAATTTTGGTAGTCGCCGTACTCATAGCCTTTGTGAGTGTACTCGGGAATACCGTGGTAGATATAGCAGTAGTGGTACCAAGTCGCATCCCGCGAGCCTGGTGGTTTGGTTCTGCGGTTACGTCACGTCGCATCTCGCGAGCATGGCGTGCTGGGCCGCGTCGTATCCAGCGACTGCGGTGTGAAACTGGTTCTGCGGTTACGCCTTGTCGCATCCCGCGAGCAAGACGTACATTGGGCTCAGCCCGGCGGTCCGTCATCGAGACAGCTCCGCTACCAGCAGTAAAGCCAGCTGGTAGGGCTGCCAACTGGCACAAGAACACGTCGATGAAGACGTACACGATGAAGATAACAGGAATGACAACAATAACACGTTGATCCATGGTGTTGTGAGTACACGGTACTGTGAGATATGTAAAGGAGGCGCGCGTGCCTAGCTAAAATGGCAATGGACGCGCGCGGAGGGAAAGGGTGAGGGGAAGGAACACAACAGCATACAACCATGCCTCTGCACCATGCTCTGCTGTTCACGCTGCGTGCTCGAACATTCCCTTTCAGTGGAGGAGGACGAGGAAGAGGAGGAGGGAAGAGGAGGAGGAGGAGGAGGAGGAGGAGAAGGAGGAGGAGGAGGAGGGAGGAGGAGGAGGACGAGGAGGAGGAGGAGGGAGGAGGAGGAGGGAGGAGGACGAGGAGGAGGAGGAGGAGGAGGAGGAGGAGGAGGAGGAGGAGGAGGAGGGAGGAGGGAGGAGGAGGAGGAGGAGGAGGAGGAGGAGGAGGAGGAGGCTGGCCACCCTCGGCGATGCGCACGGCCAGCCGCAGGTCGCGGTAGTGCGTGTTGCGCATGGTCCTCCGCCGCTGGGGACACCCGAGCGTTTGCCTTAAGTCGGGCCTGTCCCCCTACAGGCCGATTTTTGACGAAAAATTTGAACATATACAAAAGATATACTAAAAATGCTCAAAAATTGACCAAACATAGTCCCCAAACCATTTTTGGATTATGTTTGGATGTTCCTCCTGTAGAAGGACAGGCCCGACTTAACGCTTGCCGTTCACCACCACGAAAAGCACCCGGAGAGAGCGGCTTCCGTGTACGCTGCAGTGGTGGCAGAAGCCTCCCCCCCACCCCTCGGGCGTTGCGTGCACCATCGAATCTTGGCGCTGCATGTTTTTCAAGAAAGGCGTCTGCGCCCAATCTCGGGCCCCAGGACCCTCACAGATCGATCCGGCTCGAACAATGACGCAGAATGATGGGCTCCGAGGCTCTGGTAGCGTTTTTCTGCGATGTTGCAACTTGATTCGCAACGTCGGATGTGAGGGTAATGGGGGGCTACACATGGGGGGGGGGCAAAACAAGGTAATGCTTTCCTGCACCTTCGGGGACCGATGGCCCCCTCTGCTTTGATGAACGCGAAGCAGTAAGTATTTTTAAATGGTTGTAGTGATGCTATGTTAGAAATCAGTAGGAGGATTTAGGATAGGTTAGGATGCTATTTAGGATTGATTAGGGTGGCCTTTTAGCTTTAGTGACGATCAGGTCCACGATTTCGTCATATAATGGCTATAGGCTCCTATCATCAGCGATCGCTGCGAAGTCTAAAGCTGTTTGTTTTTTGTATTTTTCATTATTTTCAAACTATGTTTCACTATGTGTCACTATTCTTCGCTTTTTTCTGATTATTTTTCACCATTTTCCAATATTTCTCACTATGTTCCACTAGTTTTCATCATGTTTCACTATTTGTCATTATTTTCACTATTGTTCAGCATTTGCTCATTATTTTCTATGATTCTTGTATTTTTATTGCTTTCTAAACAAAGGCGTTCGCCGCCGACAGAAAGTTGCTTCCAAGAGAGACGAGGAGGTGCTCGTCCACCTGCAGTTCTGCACATGCAGCGAGGCGCCCGCGGGGGGGGGGCCTCTCGCTATCTGCAACATCTCCTCCTCATATCCCCACGCGCCCCCCCCCCCCCCCCCCCCCCCCCCCCCCCTCACTTTCTACAGCGGCCAGGCCGCTTGGCATATCATATGTTTATTGTTTCTGCTCCCCCCTCCCCTTCTGCGGCCAGGCCGCTCGCCATATCACAATAGCATTGCGTCTGCTCCCCCTCCCCTGCTACAGCGGCCAGGCCGCTTGGCATATCATATTATTATTATTAGTCCTGCTCTCCCTTCCCCATTCTACAGCGGCCAGACCGGGTTGCATACTATCTTTTTCCCTCTTGCGCAATATCTGAAGGACGATGGCAACGCGCAAAGCGGTTTGACCGCTTCGCCCGTGCGCAGCACCCCTGTGCGTAACATCGGTCTGCGGCCTGCCCGCTTGCTGCCTGCGTGGAGGAGGGCGAAGAGGGGGGGAAGGGGGGGGGCAGCAGGAACAGGACAAACCCCTCGCATCAGCGGTCTGGCCACTTTGCAGTCTCTTTCGGCGCGCTGCGCCGCGCCAACGCGCAGCCGCGACGACGGCTCGAGCGCGGCCAGTCGCCGCGGCGACGGCGGCGCGCGCGGGGTGGACTCCGCAAAGATCCTGCGGCGCATCGCCGCAGTCGCTTCAATCCTGGATTCGACCGTCGACCAGCTGCAGCTCGCCGCGGTGTCGCGCTAGCAGTCGGGACAGCTCATTCGGGAGCTCAAGAAGACGAGGTTGCCCCCAGAGGAGCTTCAGCCTATGCTGGGTGCGATCGCGGAGCCACGCTTTCTCGACTGCGATAAGGCGAGCATCAACACCGCCATGTTGCAGCTGGTTTCTGCCAATGGCGATCATTGCATGGCCATCGCGAACTACCAGGAGTGGGAGACGCTCCACGAGTTCTTGCCCCAGCCAGCGTGGGATTCCCTGCCGTCAGGAATCCCGAACATACTGTTCGACTTTATGATTGACCTGGGGCTGCGCAAAGCTTCGGAGCCGACGCGGCGCGTGATGGCCTGCCTGCTCATGCAAGCAGGGAGAGGGCTTGAAGGCGCTCGTCAGATCGATACGGACACAAGGACAGAGTCGGCGTTGGCCGTCGGCACGCTGTTCGCACAGAGGGCAGCTCAGAAGCCGCTCCCAGTCCCTGTCAGCATGAAGTTGCCGACGGCGCCGATGGTTCTTCAGACCGAGCATGAGCACCCCGCTCTGCGCATGCGGGCATGCAGCTTGCAGCCGCCGAAACGCTTCGATATCGACCCCATCCAATGGAGCGTCCTCAAGAAGGCCGCCAAGATGCGCCATCGCGCAGGCCGGGCTGCAGTCATGGGCGCCCCGAAGAACAGCGGGGTGCAGTGGGTTCCCTCGAGGCAGGTGGCCCCGACATCCTTGCCTTCCCATCAGCAGCCGCTGCTGCCAAGCCAGGGCGCGTCTCCTGCGATGGTCGCGCAAGTGGTGGCATCGATAATGCCATCGCTGGTGCCGATGCAGCAGCAGATCCAGGGAGTGCTGCATCAGGTGCTCCAGCAAACGATCGCTGGGCAGCCGAGCGGGGCACCGCCAAACCCGAACCATTTCTCAGCGCTTGCGCTTGGGCATCCGAGTGCGGCACCGCCGACCTCGAGCTCGCTCCAAGATGCCGTGGCAGCGATTGCTGCACCACCAGCGCCTATCCCCAGCACTTGTTGCACCACCAGCGCTGTCACTTCCGCAGTCGTAGCCACGCGCAGAGCCAAGTGTAGCACCAGCAACGCGCGCAGCAGCAGCAGCAGCAGCAGCACTCGCGCCAGCAGCAGCGCGCGCAGCAGCACCAGCAGCAGGCGCGCCAGCAGCACCAGCACCGCGCGCAGCAGCACCAGCAGCAGCACTCGCGCCAGCAGCAGGCGCGCCACCGGCAGCAGCAGCTGAGGCGCCGCCTGCAGACGGGCAAGCAGCAGCTGAGGCACCGCCCACAGTTGACGCCGCGACGGGCTCCAAGCCGAAGTTGTCCGCAGCTGTAGCTGCCGACAAACTTACTAAGGCCTACGACGCCCAGAAGAGGGGACGGAAAAAAGGCCAAGACAGAAGGTGAGGCCAAGAGCCAAGATGACCAAACGGCTGCGCCCCCGAAGACGACACAAACCGCCAAGAAGAAGCCTGCAGCCGCTGGTCCGACGAGTCCAACCAAGAAGCCTGCGAAAACCGCCGCGAAGTTGCCGCGCTTGCACGACGGGTCCACGCGCTGCAATCTCCTGATCCGCTTTATGGACGTTGCGGACGCGCAGGGTTCCATGGGCTCCCCGTGCGCCATGAAAACGAAGCAGGCTACCATGAAGGAGGCCCGCGGGGGGGGGGCGGGGGGGGGGGGGCTTCGCGGAGGAGGAGGGGGGGCAGCAGAAGAAGGGGGAGAAGGTGGGAGAATGCGTGGCAGGAGGAAGAGGAACCGCACGTATATATGGGGGTAGGAGAGGAGCGTAGGGGAGAGTGGGGGAGCGCATGGATAGCATTTATTCTCTTGCACAGCTGTGCTCTAGAGCTCTGACCTCTTTATTTTCTTGGTTCGTCCGTGGTTCGTCGCCCCATGGGCACCCCCCTCCCCCGGGCCTCCCTGGCCCCCCTGGGCCGCCGAAGCTTTTATTTTCGTGGTTCGTCCGTGGTTCGTCGCCCCTGGACCCCCCCCTCGCCCGAGCCTCCCAGGATCGCCCTGCCCCGGGCCTCCCCCCGAGCCTCCCAGGGCAGCCACCCTGGGCCGCCGAAGCTTGCATTTTCGCGGTTCGTTCGTGGTTCGTCGCCCCTGGGCCCCCCCCTCGTCCGAGCCTCCCAGGATCCCCCTGCCCCGAGCCCCCCCCCGAGCCTCCCAGGGCAGCCCCCCTGGGCCGCCGAAGCATACATTTTCGTGGTTCGCTCGTGGTTCGTCGCCCCTGGACCCCCCCCTCCCTCGAGCCTCCCAGGATCCCCCTGCTCCGAGCCCCCCCCCGAGCTTCCCGGGGCAGCCCCTCCGAGCCTCCCAGGGCAGCCCCCCTGGGCCGCTGAGCCCCCCCGAGCCTCTCAGGGCAGCTCCCCCGAGCCCCCCTGGGCCTCCCATGGCAGCCCACCTGGGCCGCCGAAGCCCTCTATTTTCGTGGTGCTCCCCTGGGCCGCCGAAGCCTTTATTTTCGCGGTTCGCTCGTGGTTCGTCGTCCCTGGACCCCCCCCCCCCCCCCCCCCCCCCGAGCCCCCCAGGATCCCCTTGCCCCCGAGCCCCCCCCCGAGCCTCCCAGGGCAGCCCCCTGGGCCGCCGAAGCCTTTATTCTCTTGCGCAGCTGTGCTCTAAAGCTCGGACATCATTATTTTCGTCGCGGTTCGTTCGCCCCCCTGCCCCCCCCCTTGAGACCAGCCTCCTCTGCCCCCCCCCCCTGTGGGAGCCTGTGGGGGGCCCCCTCCGCCCAGGCTTCCTAGGGCAGCCCCCCTGGGCCACGGAGCCGTTTTATTCTCTTGCAAAGCTGTGTTCTAGAGCTCGAACCTGTTTGTTTTCGTCGTTGTGGTTCGTCCACCTGGGGCCCCTCTGGCCCCCCTGGGCCGCCCCCCCCCCCCCCCCCCCGAGCCCCCCGGGACTGCCCCCCCCCCCCCCCCCCCCCCCCCCCCCCCCCCTTCAGCGGCGGCGCCGCGGCGGCGACCGCGGGCGGAGAGCCGCGCGGCGTGGCGCCGCCGACGACTGTCGTCGTCGTCGTCTTCGTCGTTGTTGTCCTCGTCGTCGTCCTCCTCCTCTTCCTCCACTTTCTTTCTGGCTCCTCGTAAACTCCTCCTGGAAGACGAAAGCGGGGGCCCCCTGTCCTTCGCAGCTCCTTTAAGCAAGAGCCAGGGCACGCGTGCCACTTGTTTTCATTCCGGAACCCCCAGGCCGTCAAGGTCTGCATGGACGCGTGCAAGAAGAGCAACGTGCACGTCCCCCATGGCCACGAATTCCCTTCGAATGCGAAGT